CTGCACAATATGCACGGTTGCAATTATTTTTCTTCCCGAGTCAGCTGTAACCCCTGAGCTTTAAAAGACAACCCTGGAGAAGTAAAAGAAACATTTTGGTAAAAAGTTATTTTATAATACTGACGGATCAACCGTTGGATACTTCCAAATCACTGTTCAAGGGGAATGCGATCAGTAAACAGAAAACTGCCCTCACAGCAGGTATTAATAGAAACTTGGCATGGTTATATTATGTGGCCTATGCCAGGCCTGAAAATGTGCCGATAAGGGGTGTACGTGCAACCTTACAACATGCTTAACATGGGAGCTGGTCAGCTGGTACTGTCAGTTCACAATCCTTTCTTGTTGTCCTCACAGCACGCATATCCCAGATTCACTTTGATAGACTTTGTCTGTTTTTTTTTACTTGGTGTGCAAATTAAGTTCCAAGTGAATTTAAAATCAAGAATTGACAAAAAAAACCAAAAACAATGCAGCATACTAAGCAAAAGCAACCCAGATTTATAGATTTCAGGTAAGGTATATATAGGTCTCCACCAGCTTTGTCAGTGTTGGAGGTTGTCAAGTGAATGAAAGCCTGGGTCGTTCTGTGACTATACATGTGCAGCCTTCAGGGCAAAGATGCGGCACGCTTCTTCAGAACAGAGCGAAACTGGAACCAAAGGACACGTGGAAACTATGGGGAAGTGCATTTAAAACTGAGAAAAGGAAGCACATGTTTAACTAAATGGTAGTGGGAGCGTGGAACTAGCTACCCAGGCTTCCTTCCTGGCTTCAAGAAATGACTGGATGGGATCTTTAGCTGCTACCAAACTCAATCTTTCTTATATTCTTGTGAAACCGCCACTTTCAAGGATTTCCATTCTTCTTTAATTTAAACTTTTATTCGATCCATTTCTTTTTTTATTTAGAAAGACAGCAGTGCCAGCCTGCCAGTTGTGTAGGAAGCAGTTTTTACCACCAGCTTTGTAGTTGCCACAGCAACAGAAGCAGCAGGAGTGTGGCTGAGGCCCTGCCATCTGCCTCTGCTGACGCCGAGTTTGTACTTTTTATACTGTAAGGAAAGACATCTTGCCTATTACACCGGATTTTTTTAAAATTCCGAATCTCCTGATGCCAAGTACGTCTAGTGTTTACAATGGGAAGAGAATAGGGAGCTGAATACCATGGAAGCAACTAAATCAGAATGGAAAAATGAAAGGCAGACAGGAACTGTAATAAAAATGTTCATGGTCAGTGTGCCAAAACTTGTCTGTCCCACCATGTTCAATAATAGTAGGAACCGGGCTATGTATAAAATCCACCATTAAATTAAACATCACTACAGAAGCCTCAAGACAGAGCAAATCTGATAAATAATAATCAATTGAAAACCTGTTTGAAAACAATTAACTTTCTAATTAAACTAATTTTCTTTGGTTTCCACTGCTTCCATATTTAGAAATAATAACCTAAACTTTTCAGCCCCAGCCCTCTGGAAACAGTAACCCAAGGCGGGGGTAGTGAAACTGTGGAATGTAGCAATGGACTGAGACGTGCACCCTCCCCCCCCCTCACTGGCCACTGGACACTTTATTTTGGGCGACCTTTCCTCTAGTAACCTTTCACCCACTTAGCCAGAGTGCTCAGAGGGAAGGTACTGATGATTAGCAAGCATTCTGGATCGCCATGGAAACCGGGAGCAGCAGCAGCAGCAGAGCAGGAAGGAGTCTTAAAGGCAAGTCAGATTATCTACCACAGGCATGTTTAGAATAACATTATCCTGGGATGTCACCTCACGGTCTTCAATACTAAACCAAAACCCTTGAAAAGGAATCTGAGGTTCTTCTTTTTCTAGAATTCATTAAGTTAACAACAATTTTGCCATGGACACAACATCCCCATGCAGGTGGGAGTCCCCTCAGACATTTTTTCCTTCTGGTGCAAAGGGTACCAACCTTCATGCATTTTGCTGTCCTTCAGTCAACAGTTATGACACATAAGAAAGGTTACAAACGAGAGGAGACCATCCAGCCCATCTCATTGTTAGAGGCTAATTGATCTGAGGATCTAGTCCAGATGTTACTTGAATGTAACCAGTGTCTGTTAGAATATCAGGAGTGGGATTTGAACCTGCACCTCCAGAAGAGACCACAACCTGACCACGGCCATTAGACCACTTAGATGTCTTGACGAGAATGAAAACTTGCTCCTTCCAATGTCTTGTATTCATTTCTATATTTGTATCCTCAACCAGAGATACCGATAAGCCAGCCCTGGTTATTACAGTTTAGAATGGGGTATATTTGTTCTTTTGTTTTAAGTAAATGGATGCCATCTAGCCCTCACTGTAGCAAACAATTTGCTCAAGTTTTAGTTGGTGTATATGTTTGCTATATTTGAATAGGTAGACCTGGATGTTTCACTGTTTTAAAACGTGGCAATTACCTCTAGGAATCTATTAATTGAACTCTGTACTGTGTACTTTAGTGTATTTAGTTTTCAAAAACTTTCCTTTTCCTATAATCAAAACAGAAGATCTTCAAATAAACCAACTTGGCAAATGTGGGCATCTTAACCAAATAGAAAGAAAAAAACCTATAATCATTGAACCCCTTCCTGGTTGTGTGACTATAGCAGCTTGTTTCTCTTTATCTGTAAAAAGCTTTACTTTCTCTAGTGCATACTCAGTGGCCTCCAGTCTGTAGCTATCCCAAAGAAGTCGATACATGTTACACTCACTCCATATGCTTGAATTCCTGCTCTGTGAACTTTGGACACTTGATTGATAGATGCTACAAAGGACCTTTGTCCTCGTAACCTTTCACCCAGTTGCCTCTGATTGGCTGAAGGTGAAATACAGGCCTGCCCTCCCTCTCATGCCTTTAAGCTATTGTTAAGTGTCTTTTGTCCCCCTGAGTATTTACAAATGAAGGTGAACAATCACTACCTGAAAATCACACGTGATAGTACAGAGAAATTAATGCCTCGAACATCTCTATTGATTCAGATAGTAGTTACTGTAAATGTTGTAGTGCTCTCTGGTTCACGTGGGTATGCGCCCTCGCCGCTGCCGCCTCAGGTCGGCCCCCCACCGCTGGGGACTCGAACCCGGGCCGCCGGCGTCACTCAACAGAGACCCAGCCAGTTGAGCTAAAGGGAAATCTCCCGTCAGCCCTGCGGCTGCGGTCCCTGCCATTCACATGGAAGGGCGGTGACGTCACCGCGCTGGTAAGCCGGCTCGCACAACCTGCAATGTCGACCATCTGCATTACGTTGTCTTTCATTAATTGCCTAAAAAAAACTAAAAGATTGAGAATACAGGGTTACAGCTGGATACAGAAAGCACATCTGAAAAGAGCATTTTCATCCATGATCCAGTCCCAGGAATCTGCTAAAGCAGTGGACAAATTACAATGCATCTGATTGAAAAAGGCATTGAAAATCACTGCCATTAAACAAGGAAGAGAAAGAAAAAGAGCCTTTTGACATGTCAGCCAGGCAATGCATCAAACATTAAATGAAGCCACATCTTTCCAGGAAATGTTGTAGTAATCGGGGTCCTATTCCAAAATCTTTGCGGTCAAGGCATGGTGATACTCCAGACGGGATGCCAGCCCATGGTAGATGGATGGGCCAAAAAATTATAGAAGTATTGTTTTGGGTTATATTTTCAGTCTAAGAACATTGCTGTGTCTGTGTGTATTTGATAATATGGACATGTACTTCCCCTATTCTCCTCTTCCAAACCTTTTTCACATTTTTGTGAAAAGCCTCCACTCCTTGGTGAGAATCAGTGCAGAAAATACTATAATTTTGCTTCTTGCTTGAGGGGATCTATGGGGGGGGGAGGGGTTGGCTGGAGGCATACAATAAGCTCTTGTCACTCTCAGACAGTGGTTTCATTTGGCAGGCCGCACAGCCAGGGGAAGGACGAGTCTTCGAAATGTCAGCTGTGTTGAAACAACAGCTGCTTTCTTCCCGGTCACCCAAGCCCTTTCCTCCAGATGGAGTAGGCCTTGCCCTATGGCCAGAGTGTACAGCCAAGACACCGTACTCTCCAATGACGGATCACTGGCAGCTAAGCCAATCGATAAAACAGGAAGCTCTCACAAGTGTGCAGAACGGAGAATTTCAGCTCAGTTAGTCATCGAACTTGACTCACCATCTTCCCGATCTCCTGACTTCTTATCAATAAGAATTTATATTACTGAGTGAAAAGAAAGTGCCCCATTCCTTCATGGGCAGTGCAACATCAGCACTAAGATATGGGCCTGTGATTTACTGAATTTGTTTGTCAGATTCTTGACAGAATTCACCCCTGGTTTCTTTTTGGGCTCTATTATATTATAGCACATCCTTTTACAGAAGTTGATCGACACGTCATTTGATACCCAATAAATGTTTAAATCAATACTTATCTCAAACATATTCCATCTTTGTGCTGCAGAAACAGACACGTGTTTCTCTTTATGGTACAACATCTTTTCAAGACTTATCTGAAAAAAGCCATACTGGTGAATAGCATCAATAATTTGTTGTAAATGAGCACAAGGCTGTGTCTGGCCAGGTGAAGCAAACCTGGCCTACTTTTTTATCAGCTAGACCTGCTTGCGAGTTTGCTGTGCTGAGAGGCCCTTACATAATGTGTACATGCTGGAAACCAACAGTCTACACGTCTCTCACAAACTCCAACACATCACTCCTCCCAGCTTAACAACGCAGGCTATGTTTGCATTGGCTCCCGAGTTCAACATTAAAAGTTTATAGGGCAGTATTGAGAGCTTTTGGCACTAACTCAATAGCTTGTTTTCTATTTCTGTGACACCTATTCCTACATTTCTTTTTGTCAGGTTTGCAAAATTCAAAATAATTTTTGAATGCTGGAGAGGAGTCGTTTCTGGAGTGAAATGTGCAGGCTTGTCGACACAGCTGTACCAGTGCCTATTTCAGGCTAAAAATGCACCATTAGCTTGTTTTGCTGTGAATTGTGATGTGTCTTTAACCCCTGTCTTTCCCAGTGGAAGATGAAGTGCTGCCCCTGTGACTCCAAGAATCCCTATGGCCAAAATGCCCATCAAATCCAGAATGTCGTGGCCCAGGCTGGACCCAACAGGTGGTGGCAGTCCAGGAAAGGTGAGACAGCGATGGGCCCTGCAGCCAGGAACGGTCTCAACCAGGTCTTGGAGGGCTGGGGCATGTGTACATTTTCATTGCAGTTCAGCAATTAATGACCCAGACTGGCTCATTATTGGCTTTATTGGGCCAAATTAACACTTCTCTCACCAGGACAACTTGCAGACATACTAGTACTCCAGCACCTTTACTGACACATCTGTCACAGAACATCTGCACTTCTGCAAGCCTGCTTAATGCATTATTGACAGTGCTGATTATTGTTACAATGATGTTGATGAACCATGTTTTCTATTATTACAATCACACAATAAGCATCTCACTACAACGTAAGAGCAGAAGAAATGTTCAGAATATTCACTTGCATTCCTGTGGCCTTGTCGTCCAGATGTGAACCCCGTCTCTCTCCAGTTTGACACGGATAGCAAGTTCCTGCTGCACAACCTGGTTCTGGACTTCAAGGTAAAGCCACAGCATCTGCTCACTGCAGAGAGGGGCACTGTCACATGATTTCGAAGATCTGTCGGTGGCGAAGCCACGCATTTACTGGTCGGTGTGTTGCAGGGACCCCGCCCGGAAGCCCTGGTAGTGGAGCGTTCCCTGGATTTCGGCAGGACCTGGCAGCCCTTCCTGTACTTGGCCTCTGACTGTCGCACCTCCTTCCCTCAAATCAGCACCTCTCCCCCACGCAGCCTGCAGGACGTACAGTGCCACACCATGCCTCCACTCCCACCGAACAGCTCCTACCAGGACCAGACAGTGAGGGACCTACATCAAGAACTGCCTCTTTTACAACTGCATATAGACTAAAACATATTTAGAAACAATTATTCAACTATGCAATACGGTGTCATCATGCAAGGGAATCATGATGAAAATGTTCAGATGTTCTTTCTCCTTTATTCTTGAAGCTTTACAAGCTCAAAGAGGGCTGCAATGTTGCTTGATTTTTGAAACAGCTGCATTAAAGTTAGATTCATTCAAGCAGAGGTTGCTTTCCCATGTGTAATATCCCCATGAAGACTGACGCATCCTTCTTCTTTTCTCTGTAGGTGCACATCAGTCCTATCCGCCAGGTGTCTGCCATCAACCTGCCGCAGAGCCAAAAAATTGAAAGTATGTAACAGTATCCAATCAGATTTGAACACATTACACTATGTTGCAAGCATACACCATCAAAATCATTAGGAACACATTCCTGGTGTTCAAACATGCTGATCTGAATCCTTTCAGTTTCTTCCCTTTGTTCTAATGGTTAAAAGCCCGGTAATGTAAAATCCTTCAACTTTTATCAGGGTGTGAGGTGCAATATTGTCATTTTAGTGAAAGCAGCAGTTTTCCAGCAGAAGCAAACTGAAGCTGAGCATCTTGTAAACATGAGGGCAGGATCACTGTACTAAACACCTGTTCTCCACCGTCCTGCTCTCTCCCAGGATTATCAGGCTTCACTAACCTGCGGCTGAACCTCACCAGGCTGGGCCAGCCCCCTCGTATCAGCAACGCCCGCGCGCCCAGTGCTTTCTATGCCCTGAAAAAGATGCAGGTCCAGGGTTCCTGTTTCTGCCACGGTCACGCCAACCGCTGTGTGCCCACTGCCAACCAGCTCCCTGGAATTCAGGTACACCTCCTTCAAGCAACATCAGAGCTTCACCTACGGTGCGCTATACATGCTGCCCTATTGTCATGCAGGGCTAAGATCTCTTTAATCAAATAAAAGAAAGTGAAAAGCCCCCCTCATTGTTAAACTGCGCTTAAACATTCTGACAATATTTTACACTACAGGTGCAAAATGTTTTATGGGAATAATAATAATAATAATAATAATAATAATAATAACTGCTAACACTTTATATAGCACTTGTCTGGCCACTCCACTCAAAGCGCTTCATAGGTAATGGGGACTCCCCTCCACCACCACCAATGTGCAGCCCCACCTGGCTGATGTGATGGCAGCCATAGTGCACCAGAACGCTCACCACACATCAGATATCAGTGGGAAGGAGAGCAGAGTAATGTAGCCAAATCATAGAGGGGGATTATTAGGAGGCCATGATTGGTAAGGGCCAATGGGGAATTTGGCCAGGACGCCGGTGTTACACCCCTACATAAGTCATAGTGATGCTCCTAACAAGGTGTGTTTGTCTCCGTGACGGGGGGCAGGTGCACAGTGTCTGCGACTGCCAACACAACACGGCGGGAGTGAACTGTGAGCGCTGCGCTGACCTGTACAACGACCTGCCCTGGAGACCTGCAGAGGAGAGGAATCCGCACCAGTGCAAGAGTACGTGTCACCAAAACACCCAGCAAACATGAAGATAAACAGCCAGTGATACTCCGCTGACAGGGTCACTTCAGCATTCATTAAAACATGTGACTCTGAGCGCTGCATTGGTTTCAGTCCTGCTGCTGGTTTATATTGGCCAATGCTTTCAAGTGCTTTCATTAGAGGTTTTGCTTAAACTTTGATTTGCTTTGTGGGTGTAAAGACAGAAGTAAGAATGTGTTGATGCATATATCTTAAGAGACAAATGTGTTGGAATAATACTGAAGATTTGGACAATTGCAAAATTTCCCTTTGAAATGTTCCAGTGCTGTGGAATGAAAATCCGCACCAAGACAGTGAATATGCCAAAAACAGAAGAAGTGCAAAAGCACTCTGACCTCTCAGCATTCTTAAGCTTCGACAAGACCCAGGATTGAGATCTGGCCCCTTAAACCTCTGTTGTAAGAGTAACTCTTATCTCTGCAGAGTGCGAGTGCAACAACCACGCCCAACGCTGTCGATTCGACCCTGTGGTGTACGAGGCCAGCAGGATGGTCAGCGGAGGGGTGTGTGAAAACTGCCAGCACCACACCACTGGCCGGAATTGTGAGAAGTGCACCCCGTTCTACTACCGCAACCCCCAGAGCACCATCAGCCGGCAAGATGCCTGCCTTCGTGAGTATTCCTAGAATGCCTCTGTGGGTACTGCCATGAACACCAATCAGAGGAGGTAGCATCTGTACGTACAGTCCAGCCATACAACTGAGAGAGCTGTTGTCAACCCATGCCTTGGTATATGGGAATCACTTTTCCGCCAAGGCACGGACACATACCTGACAGCACAATTATTAATAGTTGCCCCAGCAATATGCCTACATGCGGGTAGAATGCAATCCGGCAACCCCATTTTAAAAATACTCCTCCGATAGTGGCATGAGAGTACTGTCATCAATTGACATCGGAACACAGAGATCGGCAAGTTTCATATCAATGCCTCAGGGTAAAATCAACACCAACCACTTGGTCACCAAAACATTGTTCACTTCTTGAAATTCTTGAAAGAGATTTCAAGCTGAGAGGCGCCGGCATATCTCCCAGCTACAAGGTTCCGTTCCACACTCGGGTCGATTTTAGTGGATTCAGGATCACAAGGCTGGAGACAGGCCGCCTGTGGCAGCTCAGCTGTGGAGCGAAGGCGGGCTGAGCCGGGCCTTTTCTGCGGTGCCGGAGTGTTTGCTCACTTCTCTGTCCCACAGGATGCCAGTGCAGCGTGGAGGGAGCGGAGCGGGGGGGGCAGTGCGACCCCGAGACGGGGGCCTGTTTCTGCAAGGCCAACGTGGAGGGCCCACGCTGCGATCGCTGCAAGGCGGGGTACTACGGGCTGAGCGCCTCGGACCCTCAGGGCTGCAAGAGTGAGTCACCTACCGGGCTTGTTTGTTCATCGGTTCTCCGGGCTTAGAGATGGTGGCACAGCTGTACAGAACCCTGTCAGACCCACACAAGTGCCCTCTGAACTAGTGTTAGAACAGCTGGGACAAAACACTAAGCACACCATGGAGCAGACACAGCTGGCCTTGCACGTCTTTGCTTTAGACATGCAGGAGAATCAAAGGACAGCTCCACTTTCCAGGCAATGGGCACGCCCCTCCATCACCCCCACCTGGATGATGAGACAGCAGCCAAAGTGCGGCAGTACACTCACCACACATCAGCTATCAGTGGGGAGGAGAGCAGAGTAATGAAGCCTATTCATAGATGGGGGGTTATTAGTAGGCCATGATTGGAAAAGGCCAGAGGGAAATTTGGCCAGGACACTGGGGTAACACCCCTTCTCTTTTCGAGAAACGCCCTGGGATTTTTAATGACTACAGAGTCAGGACCTTGGTTTCAAGTCTCATCCCAAGGACAGTGCCTTTTTACAGTGTAGTGTCCCCATATACTGAGGCACTAAGACCCACACGTGATCTTAGTAAGCGGGTGGGCGCTCCCTACTAGTTCCACTAACACCTCTTCCAGCAGCAACCTTAGTTTTCCCAGGAGATCTCACATCCAGGTACTGACCAGACTCACACCTGCTTAGCTTGAGTTGGAAGCCAGTTGTGAGTTGCAGGGCGATATTGCTACTGGCTGTGAAACAGCCACATAAGTTTGCAAACGCATAATAAGAATGGTATAATTATATGATTATGAAAATTGTATTTCCAATTTAGAAAGTGTGGGTGTTTGAGATGAACATGGATACATGAAGAGCTCTGTTTAACTGTACTGAAAAAATCCTCTGTAAGAATCTACTTTATCTCAAACCCTAGAGTGCTCCTGCAGTGTGGTGGGCTCGGTGCGTGAGCAGCCCTGTGACCCCTTGACCGGCCAGTGTCAGTGCCTACCCAACTTCATCGGCCTGACGTGTGACCGCTGTGCACCCAACTACTGGAACCCCTTCTCCAGAAATGGCTGTGAGCCATGTAAATGTGACCCCCGCAACTCCTATGGCACCTCTTGTAACCAGGTAGTGTGAGAGGCTGAGCCTTGCTCTTGCTCATCAGAACCAGGGAGCTTGGAGTGTTGTGGGGACACCTAGTGGTCATACATATGAAACACAGGAGTCCCATTCTCACAAGTAGAGATATCAGTCAATATTTGAGTTGTCTAGAACACAGAGCATATGATGCTGTGTTGCAGTGTTTGTGTTCGATAACGTGTTGGTTGTGCAGCTGAAAATGTGATCCGTGTATTTTATCATGTAATGTATTGTGCGTGATATGTAGCTGACAACATAATGTGCGCTTCTTTATGAAATCTTCTTAACAAGTGTTTTCCTTAGCACCCAGCTTTATACTCAGTCGAATCCTTAACAGAGCTAACAAGTTGCTTCTCTGGGACCTTGGGCAGTTTTTCTACTCAAAAGCTAAAGATCCTAAGTTACTTAAGAATGGTTACAAATGAGAAGAGGCCTTTCAGACCGTCCAGTTAACTTTTGAGACTATTCTAGCATCTAGCACACTTTTGATCCTCACATTTAACATGATTAGGAATTGAAAACAAAGAGTTGTAATTAGGCCTATCTATGAAGCCCTCACATATGTGAGACAACCAGCAGGTATGGGGATCCTCCAGGATCAGTGTTGGGAATCCCTGCTATTGATGTCCTATGGGTTTCAATAGAAATGTCCCAGTTCTGAGACAAAGGACCTGTGGGTTTCTATAGAGAACTCAGAAACTGCCATTGAAAACCTTTAGAGAAAACCTTTAGATCCATTCAACAGGGGTAGTATGACTGACTCCATGCTCTGTGTGCGTTGATCAGTTAACAGGTCAATGCGAGTGCCGACCAGGCTTCGGAGGAAGGACTTGTACGGAGTGCCCAGACAACTCGTATGGAGACCTGCGCACCCGCTGCCTGCGTATGTACACTTCTCTGAGTCCGTCTGTCAGTTCACTGTCCATAGCAGTCTCTGGAACCGGCTACGATGGACTGGTGTCCCGTCCAGGGCATACCCCGCCTTGCACCCTTTGCTTGCCGGGATAGGATCTGGCTCCCTTGCGTCCCCTAAATTGGATGAAGTGGTTAGAAAATGGACAGATCTGTATCTGTAGTTCTGGGTCTCTCCCCGACACGACCTTTGGGAAAATGCTTGTGAATCACAATCTGTGTGTAGGCCTATATCTCTCCTGGCGTTGCAGAGGAGTCATCTTACACAAATGACTTAACAGTGCTTCCGGACATACCCGCAGCAGATGTCTTGTCAGGAGGTCTTTCCACTGTTGTGGTGAAAGACAATCCTGTCCGTGCGAACAGCTGACAGGCTCTCTCTGGCTCTTCCTCGTCTGCACAGCATGCAACTGCGACCCCTTGGGCACGGTGAGAGCCGGCTGCGACAAGACCACGGGCGCCTGCCTGTGCCAGCTGGGCGTGACGGGGCCGCGATGCGACCACTGCCAGCGCGGGCACTGCGACCGCTACCCCAGCTGCCCTCTCTGCCCCTCCTGCTTCTTCTCCCTGGACAGAGAGATGCAGGGCTTCTCCAACACACTGGACAGCCTGTCCAAACAGGCCATGACCCTTCCAGGCTCTTCCGACCAGGACCTGGGGCCCAGGATTCTGGGCATTGAGTCCACTCTCCAGCAGATGAGGGACCGTCTTCCCTACCCACCTCCCTCCGACGGGCAAATCACCGAAGCCATCAGCACCCTGCACAGACTGAGGTAATACATGGTGTGATAATGGCTTTTGCTGGGTTTTGGCTCAAGTGTTCCAAAAACATCATTTATAAAGTAGAGTGAATATAATCAGAAGTAATCACACGTGTGTGCAATACAGCCAGATTGACACGTATCAGCCCTGCATTACAGATCATTGCAATGTATAGCATGAATTGTGCAGTGTATATATAATACGCTCACATTTAATTAACATCTAATCAGTTGTGAATGTCACTACTAGTATGTAAGGCAAAATTATTTTTTCAAAGCTGCATATCATCCAACAATGACTATGATATGTTTCTATGATAATGCAGTGCAGTGCTGTACATAAAGTAACTTTTTTCAGCAATCAAAAAAATAGGTTTGAAGAGGTTTATTAGTGAATTTAGCAAAAGGAATTTAAGATTGTGAGTCTAGCAAAAGAAGGAAAAAGGGTTGCTGAATGTGGTCATGAGTTGACAGGCTATGTTAGTAAGCTGATTTTTAATTTATTTAGGAATGTTTGTGTGTTTGGTTCGCCCAGGACCAATTTTTGTTTCAATTGTATAAGACACTTGCGGTATAAAAAGGGACTTTTACTACAGTAAGAAAAGTGATTGTGATTATCTCATTGTCGTGACCCAGCAATGCATTAATTAAATCCCCACCCAAGTGACATCCAAGCCTCTTTCCCAGGGACCAAGCCAGCCGACTGAACCCTGACTTCTTCCTGGTGGACCAGAGCACGTCACTGAACAGACAGATAGACAGCCTGCAGACCGAGCTGGGAAGTATCACCCTGCAGTACACCAGCAAGAGGGACTCCGCGAACAGAATCCTTAACGGCATCCCGACTGGTGAGAGTCTACTTACACCACTGCACCACCAGGGGGCAGAATTCCCCACAGAGAAGTGCTTCTCTAAAACCAGGATTCTAGTCCAGCAAGAGCACACATTCAAGCCTGCACAGCACCTAAAATGCTGTCAGGTGTGGCGCCCTTAGTTCACCCAGATATAAATAAGATTAGCAGCAAGGCTTAACAAGAGCAACAGAACGCCTGTTGAAAGATTTTTTTTTGCCTCGAAGTGACAAATAGATAAACCAGGTGAACTACCAATGGATGGATGTATTTTTAAATAAGCATCTATATTCATTAATTTATTCGGACTCAGAAGCATGGGTCATATTTGTGATACTTTTAGACCCACTGTAGTTTTCTGCCTCCTTTAAATAAGGCAAACTGAATCTTACAAAACCATAGAAATCTTTCAGGAGGCTTAATGAAGAGTCCCTATAGGTGTCTGAAAGGAATTTGTCATGTGTTGTCAAAAAGGACTTTGTTTTCAGAAATAATGTCCAGTACACCCAGTAAACTTTTGAAAAAGTCCAGTAAACTTTTTCAAAAACTTGCTAACATGTGCCTCCCCCCGGCCCTTGTCCTCCTCCAGGTGCCCTGTCCACCATCCAGTCGGCCTATCAGGAGTCGGCGGACGCCATCAAGAAGGCGGAAGGCACCAAGGTGCTGGTGGACCAGTCGGCAAGCCAGCGTGGAGACGCAGCGGCCCTGGAGGGACAGATCCAGCAGGGGAACAAGAAAGCACTGGAGAAACTCAACAGCCAGCTAGCCACTCGGCCTGACCTCACACCCACCGCTGCGCAGGTTCGAGAGAGAAAGAGGGCTGGGAACCAGCTCGAGAGAATGAGAGGAGAAAGGGACAAACTGGCGAGAGAGAAAAGACAGAGAAACCAGGCTGAGCTTCCCCTGCCGGCAGGGAGGAACACTAACAGAGATGCTCTTCCTGTTGTACTATTAGAAATTCTCAGGGATCACGGAAACTTTCTTTCCTCCCAACATAATCCTAGAATTCCCACATCTATCAGGATCACAACACCTATGGATCCATCTGGGGGAGGGTGGGAGTAAAAGTTGGCAGCCTAGTACATGACCTTGCTATTACAGCCTGAGGAACAGGGAAAATGCCTCTACAAATAAGTTACTGCTTTGCCAATTTTTATTGCATGAATTCACTGGTCAGGCTGATAAAGCTCATTTCTGAGGGAGAAATTGAGAAAGAGCACATCTGAGAGAGAGATCTGTAAGGGGAGAGGAAAAGTGAAAGACAATGCACTGAACTTTGAATGCTACAGTATAGCTTATTGTAGGTATCTTAGTCACTTAAAATGCATATCTGACTCCAAAAGTAAGATGTTATCATACAGAACAGAGAGTTTGGAATATGAGGGGGAAAAGACAAATGGTAATTTGGTACTTTTAGTGACACAGAAAAGTTCTCAAAGATTTTTCTATCATGGTTAAAATGTTTATCATCTGTAATGTAGGATCATGCTGAAAGAGCTCACAGCTTCTTCGGTGGAGGGAATGTAGGATGTTGGCATCACTGATTATTTCCTATCATTAATATTGCTCCTCTTCATCACTTTAGGTGTGTGGCAGCACGCGCTCCACCCCTTGTACTCCCGTGCAGTGTGATGGCCAGCTATGCCCAGGCCCCAGTGCTCCCCCTTGTGGTAACAGAGCCACCTGCACCGGAGCTCTACCGCTGGGGAACAAGGCCATGGCAGACACAGAAGAGACCAGATCCAGACTGAGGGAACTCAGCTCTAAGATCCAGCGAGCTGCAGCAGAGGTACGGCACCACACCACTGGGCCCTGATTCTCACAGGCAGGGACATTACAGCCTGTTCTCACTCGGCTTCATCTTTTTTTGTTTTAAAGGTTGTTTAGACTTTGTTCCCTTTCAAAGTGTTTCAGCCAGAAAATGAGAAATTCCAGCTAGTTCAATTATTGAATTTGGAGTGCATCCAGATGAAGAAATTTAGTGAAAACGTCATTGTAGCAATTTTATTTTAGGGAAAAGAAACCACAAGCACCTTCTCACCTAGGATTTTGTTCATTCCTGTACATATAGTCCAAGTAATTTTGGTTACACTGATGTCTCACAGATTTGGAAACATGAAAAGCTCCAGACTGTATTATTAGGTGATGAGACATATTCTTAGTGGTTAACCCTATCTGCATCACTTCACCCAGATTAAAGAATATATCATATCAAGACCTAGAGGCTTGGTTACACGTTGCAAAGGACAAGAATGATGTAAACTGCAAGGCTGGTATCAAAAGACGTCACACAAGAGACATTTCTTGTTAAAGCATGACAGGACAGGAAACCACCAGCATAAGATTATTATTTGAAAACCTCTAGGATTCACCTCAAGAGAAGTACATTCTGGATTCACATTCCCAGATTACAGATGTTAAAATTGGTATATGTCCACACATCCTACTGTTTAGTTAATAAGATGTATGTTAAAATGGTAGGGCATATAAATATCTGTAATCATCGCCATTAGGTAAAGTGATAAATTTAGTATTGTTATAAATAAGTTGCTATGTCAGAAGTTCCAGGTTAAAGCCTTCCATAAAACTTGACCTGGAAAGACACAGTTGTACAGGTGTTGTCTGTAGTCATTATATTTTCATTCCCTAAAGGTTCAAAACAATTTAAATGAAATCAATTAATTATGACTTACATTAATTCAGAGATCTTTTCGAACAAAAGTCTGCATACTCTTTAGCCCACAGGCACCATAGTTCCCTTACCTAAACACAGTACATGCTTATCTGATGCAGATTCAGAGACCCTAGATGTACACCAACACTTCACTTGTCAATGTTTTTTCACACAGATCCAGAACACCCAGGATTCAGCCAATCGTGTCAGGCAATCCACAGACAAACTGGCCAATCAGATTAAGCAAGCACGGAGAGACCTGGATAAGGACATGCAGGACACCCGAGACTTTGTCCAGCAGCTGAGAGAGTTCCTGTCAGGTAACATGCTGTACAGTTTCTTCCAGCTCAGGCTTGAATCAGTCTTATGAGGTGCTACAGATCCTTTTGTGCCCGGTGCAAGATTAGCACTTGTTTTCTGAAAAAAAGCTTTGAAAGTGAAGTATAGCAAGAATATATCAGGGATGAAAAAGAGAAACTGTTCCATTTATCAATAGTTTTATAAGATTAATAATCAATGGAACTTTATTTGAGGAGTGCAATGGTTAAGGAAAAGTTTTGACATTGTCCTGATAAATATGAGTAATTACTGAAGACAGATTAAATAAAGACTGTTTTCAGTTCTGTGAAAGAGGCATGTTGGAAGAAGTGTTTCATCAAGATTAAAAGAGTGTGGCTGCTGTATCCCGTCAGCTCTGTCCCCCACCACAGAGGGTGCTGATTTGAAACCCCCTCCTGTCTGCATGTCCTTCAGACCCTGACACAGATCCAGAAGCCATCCAGACAGTAAGCGAGGAAGTTCTGAACACAAAGCTGCCGCAGAGTCTGGATGCCCTGAGGAGCAAAGTGGACGAGATCAGGAGAATTGCGGCAGGTCTGCCCGACAGCAGGAAAGTCCTGGAGAGCACTGGGCCTGAGCTGGACCACGCCAGAGAGCTCCTGCGCAAAGCGGAGACAGCCAGGTAGGACGGACCGTACAGACATTCTACTCTTACACCACAGCCCTGAATAACTCAGCACAGCAAAGCGCACTACAGTGCCCTTCAGAAAGGATAGTGTGGGACACCAGGCCAACATCACACGGGTAAAGCACATTGAAATCATGGTCACATTTGCTCCACATTATCCAAGGATAGCCTGGCAAAGAAATGCAGGTATGTTTTGATTCATGCAAACGTATTTTGTGAGTTTTTGGTTTACCATGCCTCAAGAATATATATCACTTCTTAATTTAGGACAAATTAGAGCTCACCATAACACACTTTTGTACAGTCAGAACCAGATAGCTTGGCAGAGGGTATGAGACCATTTACATTGTGCTATTGTGTACAGGTATGAATGGAAGAGCTTGGGTGACCCTCAGGCAGCTGGGCCATCTCTGTCTCATTCCAGCAATCATTCAGCTCCCATCATCTTTCACTTGCTAAATACATCTACAAAAGGTCTGCTGCAGTCTGTACTTTATGTTTATGTTAAATAAAAAATTTAAATCAATAAACCAAAACAAGCTACTTCATGAAAAAAAAAGTTTATAGACAGTAAAAAGATCAAACCTAAATCTGAATAAATAAAATGACTGCACAAAACTAACATTGCTAATCAACTAAAAAAAACAAATTTGAAATTATAAATCTGGTTTCACAGCTATGGGCACACAACTGTACATCTTTCAGCATCCACCAACAACAACATACATTGTACATGAAGCTGAGAAACATTAATGAGCTTTTAGTTTAAAGATGGTTTTCAGTACCATTATATAAACATTACAATGAATTCATGTGGAATTGTTTTAATATGGTGTTTCAACCCTGTAGTTGGAAGTGGACCTGCAAGACACTCACACTGTTTAGATTTATTGTTATGGGACATTATTTTTTTAAATTCATGCTGCATATTTCAGGAATACAAATCAGGGAAAACACTGCAAATTTTCAGAAGGCCATTTTCTAAATGACTATAAAACAGTGAAAAATAGTGCTGCCAAACTACAGCACAACATATTACAAAGACAATGCAGTATCCAACACAGGCCACCAATGTGCAGTACAGCACAACACAGCACAGATCTCTGCAGTGCAGAATAGTTCAGTACAGAACTTCACATTATCCGTTTAGATAAAAAGGTACTTTTTCTAACTTCTCCCTAAAGTGCACAAATACAATACCAAGATTTTTACTAGACATAAAACACAAGAGGCAGCACAGTGGCACAGAGGTTGGCATTGCTGCCTTGGAGTGCTGGGGACCTGGGTGAAATCTATATGGACTCTGTATGTTCTCCATGTGTTCACATGGATTTCTTTTGGGGGCTCCGGATTCCTCCCACTTCCAAAAACATACTGGTAGGTTAACTGGCTTCTGGGTGTATTTGTGATTGTCTGCCCTGTGATGGGCTGGCACCCACAGCTCGCTGGCACAGCCTCTAACTCCTCCACAATCCTGACTTGGAAGAAGTGGTCAGAAATTACATGGAGGGGTAAATCACATATCAGAGTGTCCATTACAGCTCTTTTGTTAAGATGGATTTTGGGGTCACCAGTCAGCTGTGTGTTGCAGGACCCAGGCCGTTCTGATGGAGGAGAATGTGAACCAGGTGCTGGACACGTTGACCAGCGAGGAGAGCTCTCTGAGGAGCCTGGAGACCAACGTCCAGGACACCATGAGGATTGTGGATGGGGTGAAGAATAATATCAATGAAGTAAGCAAAATGAGGCTACCAAGGGTAGCTCAACCAGTAAAGGCATAACTCTCTGCCCCTGCTGCTCAGCCATTGGCAACTGGAGCTCAAATATCTCAATAACCAGCTGTACGGGGATTCCTGAAGCACAGGTTCAGGTTAAGCTCATAGGACACTGGTGACCATACACTGTAGTCAGGGAGAGCTGCATCTCTCCTCTCTTGGAAGGTCAAATTATCTGCTATGTGCTGCATGCTTACTATGCTTAAGAACAAGGCCCCTTTTAAGACTGTGTCCTACATCCATGTTAAAACTCACGCACAGTTCTTAAGAATCTCCACTCTACACAATATTGTGATTTAGTTTCATCCTCCTCAGGCACCAGTACTCTGTGTAACACAGAATCCAACACTGTCTTCAGCGAAAAACTCGCTCCATCTTTAATATTTTAAAGATGCTAAATTATTATTATGAGAATTCATCACAGTACAGCACAGTGACATGTTCAGAAAAACAGTGAAGCACACAGAACCAATAATGACAAGAATATAACCACCAAGAGCTGCTACATTGACATAATGAAAAGGCAGATTGTAGATTAAAATAACTACTTAATCTTACCTTTAAACACTAGACTTAAATTCTCTTTAATATTATTAATTTGGTTTATTCATTTGTGTTTATGCATTTCTATCTTATTGCAAAGCACCCTGAGATGATGAGCCATAGAAAATACAAATTATTACACACCTGTTGTCCTAATTATGTTTTATTTCAATTACATTTGTAGGATTGTACTCCTATTGCCAGGTGTTTTGTATATCAGTAATGTAATGTAGGATATGTGCATGACTGTTTTTGTCCTCAGTGTGTCGTAAAGTAGCTTTAGATCTGCAAGGACTCAAATAGGATATCAGATGACTGGTCCTGTGAAGAGAGTTTAAAGCATGTCTCTCTCTCGACCTCTCCAGATCGAAGGCCTGCTGAACCCAGCACAGAAAACTCTGGGAGAGCTGGCTGTGCAGATGGACCAGACAAAGCCACAGCTGACGGAGCTGAGGGACTTGGTCCAGTCCACTCAGCAGCTGGCGCAGCAGGCTGGGGGGGACGTCAGTCGTGCTCAGAGTGAGGCCAATGAAGCCGGACAGGTGAGACAAGGAGGGGAGGTGGGCAAGGGAGGGTGCTCATGGGAATGTTACACCTGTGCTGGGGGCAGAATAAAAAGATATTGGAGTACTGCACATACTGCAATCCACATTCATTCTTCGAACGAGCAAAATGTCAAAATACCTACTGAATCTTAATCACGGGTACTGACAGCCCTTCATGCAAAGCTCCCAGGCTTTTTTCTTGTGGTGTCTCTTGGCTGTTCATTGCTTTAAGCAGAACTGTAATACCTTTTTACATAAGGTTGCAAACAAGGTAGCTGATAGCGAATTGATCTGAGGATGTCACCCAGCCATTTCTTAAAAGAAAACAGGGTACTGGCTTCAATAGCTGGGTAGCTTGTTCTAGACCCTACAATGCTTTGCATAAAACACAACACTGCCTCCTATTCTTTGTTTTAAACTTACTTACCTGCAGTCCCTACTTGTGTCCTTTGGCTTGATAAACGCATTTTGGTGATTTAGAGAGGCAGCACCAGACATGACTGTGTACACGGAGACTTATTTCTCCATGTAGGGTAGTTGGGATCAGGATTCCCCAAGAAAAGGTAAATATTTGGTTTGGCCCTGCCTAGGTTTTGTGGATTTGAGTCCCCTGGAAAAGCATCACCCATGAGCTTGCAATATTGTCGGTGAGAGGCTCATTCTCCTCCACTCCACACTAGTTCTGCTCTCGGGCACCGGAGAGCTCCAGTGAGAGACTATGACAGCTGGAGGGAAGAGAGGAGACACACAAACCGGGGGGCCTGCATGCATCTGTAACACGGGGCTGTGCTGTGTCCTGTGCAGGAGCTGCTGTTGCTGGAGGGCCAGTATAAGGAGCTGATGAGGAAGTGGTCGGGCGGAGCTGGTCAGTCAGGGGGAGGTGCCTCGAGCACCAGACTCCAGGAGCTGCAGCAGGAAGCCAATGACCTGATCCTGCAAAGCATGAGCATGATGAGGACGCTCTCAGGTGAGTCCACCGGGAGGTGACAGCCCCAAATCCTGTTGCTCCTCTCTCAGGTTCTCCCCAGAGTGAGAAAGGAAGACTTTCATTCAGCAATATGCACAGCAGGTAAAAAGATGATGTAGAGTTTGATTGCACAGAGCAACTTATCAGGCCTCGGCCACAGGGATCAAAGCCTGCACCCTGGCATTGCCAGCGAGGCTGGGACTGTGCCCAATTTTATCCATCATCAACATAGTGTTTGTCAAAGATCCCAAGGACATGGTGATACGTGCAGAGCTGAGTCTGCATCTGACTACAGCACAACATGAATAACAGACTCTATAAATCCTTCACACAGAAGCAAAAATAATGTAGATCAAATGATGGTCAAACAACATCAGTTCAGTTCAAGGTTAAAACTTAAATGATCAGTCTTAACCATGGCATGGGTGAAAAAGCGGATGATTATATATGCAGCGATCAGGGTGCATGTTTAAGGAAATGGTTGTAAGGACGGAAGCCCTGACCCATGACTTTCCACCCCCCTGTACAGAGAGAGAAGGCTCCCTCCTGGAGGCCAACGAGGAGCTGCTGATCAAGTCCCGCAGGCTGGAAGGGATGGAGGAGGAGCTGCAGAAAATCTTAGATGACATCCGGCAAAAGGCCAGAGTCTTGAACACCTGCCAGGGATAAGTCCCTGTCCACGCCTTCGGCCTATCACAGCTCTTGCTCGAGACACTTTTCTATTTATTTATTTCTGGAAACAAAAGCTTTCCTTGAAAAATGCAGTGCAATTACAAGCTGAAGGTTTGGACAATTTCCTATGTACGTGGAGGTTTTTCTGTCCCATGAGTGGAAGGCAAACTTTGCACAGTTGTGCCCATCATGGTTAAGCAGGGTGGAAAATGTTTACTTCTGATATGGAATATGGTAAGATCCTATCACACTGTAGAGAAGCACACAGATATATCTGTGTTATCAATATGTTGTAAAGTCTTTGTACTTTATATATCACAGCGGCTTTGTGTCAATGGATTTTTGCAATGACTTTTTTTACACACCTTCAATTTTCTTCCCGATTAAAGAGCATTAACGAGATCTAATGGAGTGTAACCTTGTATTTACAATGCCCGTATGCTTCTATGCTGAGCGGAACACAACTGGCTGGTTATTGGTGGGCCAGGGTTGTGTCGGATTTCCACTAAGGAGCAGCTGCAGTAACTCGCCAGATGCTGATGACGATGTCAGGGATAGATGCACTGTTTCTCCAACTGGCAGTAAACAGGGTTGATTGATTTACAGTATTGGGAACCTGGGCACAAAAGAGCTTTAAATCCCCTTCAGCCACTGAAAACATTACAAAACCATGCATACAGTTATGCCATTTATTGTTGACACATTGCATCAACAACCATATGTAATCAGTTTTATTATGCACACAATATCGGCCTTCAAAAAAACGATTTAGTGCATCACAACAAAAGCCAAAAATAAAACAACACTGACTGCCCAAGTAGTAATGAATTAATGATATGTTGCATACAGCAGAAAAAATCATAGACCACACATGCTCTTGTAATAAATTATTTTAGTTAACAGCACTTTTTACATATGATGTGAGTAAGCACATCCGTCAAATAATCGAGGTTATGTTCTATGATTCTGCCAGTTATTCGAGATTGCAAGCCACTTGTACTAAGGCCTCCTTCATAAAAAAAATAAGTACTACATATTGCGGATTACGTGTACTACGTTTAACCACTACTGCAGCATTTTGAAGAAAAGAAATACAAACAAAATATCATAAGATGGTCTTACCTTCAAGTTTCTTCTTTATTTTGAAAATCGTGCACCATGTTGTTAAAACTGTTTTGTGCACCAGTTCCGATTCTATTACCAGTAGAGATAAAAGTATATTATGGACCAGAGTTCATTTCTTATCCTTGTTGTGGGCCACCTTTCCTTACAATCTGCAGCATCTCGGTTGAGGTTCATTCAGTACAAAGAATTTAAATTGCACGAGTTTATCAGGTATGTTCTTAATTGTGCTTTGGCTCCGAATGTCTTTGCTCTGTTAAACTGCAAATCTCCTATCACGCCACTAGAGGCCCTTGTTTTACGACTTCATTTTGATAAGTCGAACAAACCTTTCAGCATTTCCCCCCTAACGCAGGACGTGTATCGCGTTTCTCTAAATCGTTTTGTTCTTCGTTCTTCTGTTTCTGACTATTCTTTGAGGACTTGACGTCATACTCAACGGTGCAGGTCGATCCTTTCGCGCTGTAGATATTGTCTGCTGTTTCTCAGTTCTCTCTTTTAAAGTAATGATTTATTCTTGATACTCTTTAACCTTAACCTCTCACTATGTGAGTTTCCTCTGAGCAACCCCACTTAAGTGATGTTGATCCATAATGCCTGCTTATTAAGCGCGTTCAAAATGGTGACGGATATTTTTCGTGGACAGGGTAACTCTTGCCAACCGACCAAGCACGAAACAAGTCATTTTCATATCGCAATGCAAGTAAAACCCCGTTCACGGTATGGTCTGTACTGCAATATTGCAACCAAAGAATCTGATGTTTTTTTCTCACCACGTTTCTCTGGGCACTTCTGGGCCCATGAACTAATCTGCCTCTGGTAATTGAGTTTATCCTTTGCTCACCCAGCTATATCCCATGTTCAATGTGAGAGAGAAGCCTGCGCCAAACCAGCACAGATCAGCCAGCCGCTTAAAGCCAATAGGAAGTTCTTAATGGGATCAATTATGGAATTCGGTCAGGGCAACGATTTAGACAGCAGACAGGATGAAAGCAGACACACTTACTCTTCCAAACTTTAAAATCAAGAACAAAGATGATCAAATGGGACTGCAGTTATAGCATTTTTATTAAAAAACAACCTTCCAAATTTTCCAGTACACTATCAGATTTTTATTGATAAAGATCCTAAAAAAATCCAAGTATAGATTTTTTTTACACAATACACAGTCACAGATTTCCAGGTTGAGACATCCTGGTTGTACCAGAACAACAGTTTTAACAGGTCTGTAATGCCAGGTTGCATTAGCAGTATTTTTAATCACCAATATAGATATATATTTTTTTTTATTACAGAAACAAATATGAACATCTATCGCCCAACTCTCTTTCTGTGCTCTTAAGATGTGGGCACTAGAAAGCTGTAAAATCACAAGACATATCTACAGTAATAAGACATTCACATCTGTTGGCGAGTTAGTAAAGTTATCAGTTAATAAGAACTACAATTGCTATGCATCCTTAAACTCCAGTCATTTTTTATTTTAAAAAACATAACATATAATATAAAAATATTTAACACATGACTTTTAGGAGTCTTAGAAAAGGAGAGCACAGCTAGGCCTCAACAAGTCTAGAAACTGGAACTGTTTCATAACAGTTTGATTTACATCAGCCTGTCTACTTCGTCTCCATTACAACAGAAATCTTCAGCTTCACAATTAGAAAAGAGAAACTAAACTCCCTTAGAAGTTAAAACCTGTCTAACTAACGACTGCAACTAGTTTGAAGTAGAAAATAGCTCTGGCGGTAACTCACTTTTTTAAATTTTGTCTTGAAATGGTTGTAAAAAACATTTTAGCAGCAGACTTAACTATATTCATGGCAGCGGCATATGATAATTCTCTACACAGAAACCAGTGTAAAAAATACATGCCATGTTCCACAGATACATTTTGTTCAAAATACAGTTCTCATCACAAAGCATTTCCACAATTACGAGCGCAAACTTAGGAAAAAATGTATTCTTTGTTTTGAATTCACATGACAATACAACACTCATTCATTATCCATGCATGCTAATACAGAGGTTTAATTAGCAGACATAAAAAATAAAGTTTGTTTTTCCTTACATTTTGGGATTTAAACGTTCAAGAATCGGTTATTTCTCCTAGACAGTTTACGATCTGTCTTTCAGTTCTGCCCACTGTAGGATTTCTCGAAGAAAAACTGATGTTTTCTAGGCACTCGGTATTTTGGATGCAGGATCCAAACACAGCCTGTAAGACTTGTGACTCCCGCTGAACAACAAACGGCAAACAGCTCAGCTGAACAACACGCAGTGGGCTGGCTCACATGTACATTGCAGAATGCCAGAGAGCTCTCTCCAGACACTGGAGCAAAACAGCTCTGCAAGAAGAAAACACAGAACGTTTTGTCAGTACAAGGCGACCTGCAGTTTGAAACACTATATTATCAATCAGACATCAGCTGCATGTTTTATTCACTTTCTTTGCCCTGTGCATTCTTGTACCACATTGACATATCGCTACCATTCTTCATGAAGTTGTGTGTGAATGTTATTACCTTTTAAATGTGGCAAACACAGCCAAATGACAGGAGAGAGGACTGAAGATTGTGCAGAGTTACAAATGAACATCACACCCACTTTAAATTAGCACTGTCCTAGCTCAACATACATTCCAGATGTCTCTTTTGTCATGTTGTTGTTTCCTGCACAACCTAATCAGATACAAGAGTAGCAATGACAAGAATATTAAGCCAGCACAGTGACTCCCATTGGTACTGAGACCGTGCCATGCTCTGCAATGAGATGGAACCCCACCTGTCAATTTGTCCCCAGTCATTGGCTGCTGGGCTATCACATGATGGAGCAGACCCCAGTATGCAGGGGGGGACTTTGGCCATTCACAGGGAGGATCAATGTGGGAGCAACATTCCTGTAAAAGAGCACGAGAGGCAATAATATTAATAACAAATACCACCTCAGCATTAAATTAGGAGACAGTGGCCATGGGGGGAGTAGGCACCGTAATTCAGAGGGTGAATGTTGGTATCCCTAATGTTTATAGCCAGCACAAGCAGCATGATGTGTGATAGTGCTGTTACTTCAGAACTCTAAGGTCCTAGGGTTGATTCTAGAATCTTCTCTATGTGGAGTTCACACATTTCCATGTTTCTGTGAGTCACCCAGGTGCTCTGGTTTTCTTCAACCCACTAAAGGAAATTTAGTAGATTACCTTGCTACACTAAGTTGCCATATCCATGAGGAACAGGAGTGGGACACCTCTCTCGAGAATCTAACTGGTCAGGAGCAGCTCCTTGCTACCACGAAATAGTGAAGATAAGGTTCAGGTGAAAGAGAGTGGTCACAGCCAAGACGCTAGCCTGCACTTACGGGGGAGAAGGGTAACGTGCGGGCTACTAGTGGGAGCTGAAGCTCTCGGAGTTGGTGATGGAGCAGTAAAGTGCTGATTATGGACAGAGTGAGAGGTAATGGTCTCAGCTCCAAGGCCAGGGAGAGACCCTGTATGTACCCTGAGGTTTGGTTAAGAAGGATGAAGATGGAGGACAAGTCCTGTGCAGGCCGGATCTGAGGGTCAGGTCTCATGATGCCGTAGTTAGAGTGAGTAACAGCTTGAGAAAGCCAGGAGTAAAGGTCAGCTTAGAAGACAAGTGACCATAATGGCTGCAGTAAGGGATTGCTCTGGGGAGACCGCTGGGCTGGGGTTGTGTACGTACTGATTTCTGGCAGCCCCGTTGAGGTTGGCCGGCTCCGACAGGTAGTTGGGTTTTCCCTTCTCTCCGATGAGCCCGTGCACTGGCTCGCTATGGCTGACCCTCAGGGCGTGGTAGTGGCTCTTGGGCTCGTTGTGGTTGTGTTTAGGGACGGGGATGAAGTTCTCCACATTCCCGTTGGGCTCCACCGAAGGGGTCTTCTTTGGGGAGTGGGGCTCCGAGACGTCAGTAACATTAATCACCGGCAGTGTCTTGTTGGTCATTTCAGAGTGTGCCAGTTGCAGCTTCTTCATGTGGTTAATCACCACTGCAGCATTGAAGGCTTGCTGCAACCACAGGAAATTGAGGTTTAATTAATTACTCTGCTTAGACTCACCCATCTCCATTTCAATGCTGAATCGCAACTCAAATATACCACTCCTTCATCCTTTTTACATGACCATCATAATAAGAACGTCCCTGCCTGTCCAGTTTAAGATGCTTCAGAGACACTAAAGCACAAGTTCCTGAGAGCAGCAGACTCTTCCAAGATTCCATCAGCCTCAGTTCTTAAACAAGTAACAGAGCTTATTAGCCTAATTGGATGGATTTAAATTTAAAAGGTCTTCTGCTGCCTGTTATTTAAAGAGTTATGTAAATGCCGCTGGAATGGTGCCCTTGGGAACAGGGCTTATGGCCCTACATACTAGAGCACATAAAAAGATTTAGAACACATGCAAGATGTTAAGCAATTTCATTTGTCAATTCATAAGACCAGGAATGGCCAACACAGTGCTTGAAAGCTGCTGGGCAATCCTTCTGTCATGTTATACAACCTCAAAAACTTCATTTTTATGGTAACAAAATCCCATTGTCCTAGGTGATTGAAAATTTGTGATATAAAGTTGACCTACAAAATCTTCTTGGTTGGGTAACCTGCGTGAGTACAGGAGAAAGATCAGGACATTCTTAAGGTAGACCTAGTGCTCTGATCTGCTAAGTCTCTGGAGTCCATCATGGCACCGCTCCGCTGAAAACTCACCCGCCACTTCGATTTAGCAAAGTTCTTCTGGATGTTGATACTGACAGAGTAATAGATGTCGTGGCTGCGAGCCGTCTTTCCTACAATCCTGCCAGGAGAGCAAAGGAAAGAAAGTGCCGTTGGCTTGGGAAAAGTGGAAAGGCAATGGAACTAATTGGGAATCGAATCCAGATTCTGTTATTGCTTCCTTTCTGATCATGAAATCAAAACAAGCCTATCTAGAAATGATAGCAACTGATTTTTAAATCAGCTCAATGCATTAAAACCCTGTATCTTGTCAGACCTCAGAAGGTAAGTAAGGCTGGTCAGTACTAGGATGAGCGACCTCCAAAGAAAACCAGGTTGCTGCTAAGCAATAAGCAGTGTTCATGGACCAGTAGGTGGCTTTCTTCCCTCTGGAGCAGAATTTCCAAAGCAATGCCCCAGTATGGTCACAGGGATCTGTGCTGTGGTTGGCGTCATCCTTTATCAGAGAAGTTAAAGAAAGGTACTGACTACTTCATCATAAAATATCCCATGCAATGGCTCATAACAAGTGTGTTAGTCCTGATGTCCTGGCTAAACTCCATTTTGGACTTTTACAATCTGGCCTCATTACAGTAACCCTTAATCAAACCATAATAAAGTAATTTCTCGCTTCTCCACCAGTACAGTGGGTCTGCTGGCTACTATGCATCACCCAGTTAGGGAAAGCACTTCAGTGGAGGAAGATTGGTCCCCCCATGAGGAAGTCTTAAAACCACACGAGTGTAAGAGCAGGGAAGGAGACAGAGAGAAAATTAAGGTTGTTTAAAGAAACTTGCCTCCCTTAGGATTCACTTTGAAAAAATAATATTGTGAGGCAGAGGGTCTGCGTTAGAAAATCAGTCTCGGGCTATGTAAGTGTTTGTCACAGGCATGGGTGTTATATAAATAACAAATTTGCCCTCAAAAACTTAAAGGTCCTGTTCCTTCAGTGGGCCTGGGCGGAATGCCCCAGAGTTCATGCTGACTGTACTTGACAACCCTGAAATGTGACCCCACTTACCAAGGGTGTCTGAGAGCCTGCTCAGTGGTGTAGCGAACCTCTGGGTTTTTCCGCATCATGTTGCGAATGAAATCCTTGGCTATAGAAAATAAGAGAGAATTCAATAAGTTTTGCAGCGCATGGACAGCTGATCAAGAGCATTATCCATTTTATTTATCTTAAAGGGAAAGGGAAAATCTCTGGAGGTGATCAATTAGAAACTTTCCTAAAGCAGATGATGATGATCAAGGTTCCACTCTTCATTGATTAAGCCAACAGTTGATTTAGCCAAGTAGCTAACAGCCTGCGTAATTGTGAAGAAGGAGCAGAGAGAGGAGACCTTCGCTCAGGCACTCACCTGAGTCGGAGATGTCATCCCAGAAGGGAGAGTCAAACTCATACTCTGCTTTCATGATCTTGGCGAACAGTCTGGACTCCGTCTCCTCGTAGAAGGGGGGGTATCCACACAATCTGGAAGAGCGCAAAGGGATCCTGTTTCATGTAAACCGCCCTGACAATGTGGAAAATCAACCTCTATAAAGGATATATACTTATTACTGTCTGAGCATATATAAAATATCCATTTACATAGCAAGCAAATAAAAAGCTGATCCTGTGCTATTTTAAATATATTTCCTCAATCTCCATGCCAGATCAGCAAAGCATTATCTGTGTAATCTGGCCACAGAAACTACTGAATAAACGAGCAATTGAATCGACTATAGAGCCAAAAAAAAACTTCTGAAAGGGTGGCACTCTGCCTTCTTTATTGCAGATCAGCATTATCCCTGATGAACAGTGGATAAAGCTGAGGGAGGTGGCAGGGCTGATCTGAGGGGGCACAGGCAGGGAGGTACTCACAAGATGTAGGTGATGACCCCTATGGACCAGCAGTCCACTGATTTGCTGTAGGGCTTCTGGGCCAAGACTTCAGGGGCTGCAGGGAAACACCAGAGTCCTCCTTTTGAGTTACAGTACACCCAGTATTTATACAGGACGAACATAAGAAAGTTTACTAATGAGGAGGAGGCCATTTTGCCTATCTGGCTCTTTTGGTTGTTACCAGCTATTTAATCCAAGGACCTGGCTAGCTTGTCCCATACTCTCACAACCCTCTTGTTAAAGAAGCGCCTCTTGTTCTTAGATTTCCCCCATAGTTTCCACTTTATCTTTTGTTTCATTCCAAAGAATTGCACTTGGTTGGCTTATGCAATTTAAACTAAATGCAGTGCCAAGTGCAGCCTGTAACTCATTTGAGTTAACACATGGTTACAGACAGGCTCCCGCTGGGTCATCTCCAGTTGAGTGTCCTTACCCACATATCCTGGCGTGCCGCAGGCCGTCGCCATGATGCCATTGTCCTCTATCTTGGAGAGGCCGAAGTCGCTGATCATGATCTTGGAGTTCTCGTCCTGGCTGTAGTAGAGCAGGTTTTCAGGCTGCAGAGGTAATGGTACAGGAGTGGGTGTATAATGTTTAAAAGAATGTCAGCTCAGGGTCATAACAGGAAGTGCCGTGATTTTGCTGTACTGCCTATACTTTTCAATTTTCTCCCCTAAATTCTGTTCCCAGGAGTGGCAGTAAGGGCAATGATTGGAGACAGAAAAACAGATGAAGATAGAGAACCAAGCGAAACTAGTACCTTGAGGTCTCTGTGCACGATGCCAATCTGGTGCAGATAGTTCACTGCATCCAGGACCTGCCGGATTACCAGGCTGGCATCTTTCTCTGTGTATACCCCTCGGTCCAGTATTCGGTCAAACAGCTCTCCCCCGGACACCCTGAGGAAGGTGAAGCCCAGTCCATCAGCACACTGAAGGCAAACTAGCAATCCAACACCAGATGGCACTACATATCCTCCAAATGCTCATACTTTTCATACAACATGAAATACACAGAATAAATTATTCTGGAAGTTTTCTAAATGGAGACTATATGTAAGTGCATTGAAAACCAATGACATGAGGCACTCCTTCAATAAAAGGCTTATGGGAGACTGGAATAAGCTACTCAGCTATGTTGTTGAAGTACACCCTGGTTTCTTTCAATAAATGACTGAATAAGATCTTCTGACCAATGAGTTACTAAGTACCCAAGAGAATGAATAGCCTCCTCTCCTTTTTCTTATGTTATTCACAGTGCGTTAGTGAAAGTACCACTTTTGTATATGCAAGAATAATGTGTAAGTTCCCTCGGCACAGTACTAAGTTGAAAGTGCATTTTTTACAAAGATAAAATAACCCCCCCCCCCAAAAAAAAAATAAAAATAAATAACAACAACAAATTTTAACCCACAGATCCCAATACCTAACTGATTTATACAATTGTATTTATACTCACAACTGCATGACCAGGTAGTAATGGGTCCGGCTTTCATAGAAGTCTTCCAGTGCCACAATATTTTCATGTTTGATTCTGGGAAGGAGGAAACAAACCTCTGTAGATCTCTCTTTTAATTTTAAAATCCAGGGTTGGAACAGAAACATCTGTTCCATCCCTGGTGGAACAGGGATGACAGCGTATGTTGATGACAGCATATGTTGGAGCCATATAAGAAAGACAGTAACTCTCCCCCACTTGTCTCCCCACACCTACTGTAAATAATGGTGTTTCAGTCTCAAATGCAGCATGACATAAAGAAACTTTGACATAGATGGATTTTACTCTTTGCAACACGTTGACAATTGCACTGTCTTTTTTTTAATATACTTTTTTCAAGCTCAGTGTTTGACCCTATTTTCTTTTTCTAAGGACCTGTTATTAGGTTTTTACAAAACAATTTCAGTGTCTGTTCTCCAAAAGGAAAAAATCCCCCTTCAGAATTCAAATATTGTTTTAAAGTCCTGATGAAGGATGATGAGGTTATAAGACATTAAAGAATGATGAAATCCTAGTCACGCCTTTTTCCATGAGTAACGCAGTTAGAATAAAAAGACTATTTTTTTCTCATTTTCTGTTGCATGCAAATCAGGATTAAAAACACATCCAGCCAGGTTTGTCAGGGAATGTTGGGAACACCTGGGCCTACTTAGCATGGGTGCTCACCTCCTCAGCACAGAGATTTCATTTTCCAAGTTGTTGTCCCGATGGTCTGGCATCTTTTTCACGCACTTGAGAGCGAAGAGCTTGCCCGTCTTCCTCTCCTTAACTAGGAACACTTCGGAAAAGGCCCCCCTGGCACAAATAGACAGGAAAGTCTCAGCAAAGGAGCACCTTTCAGTAGCTGTAGGAATTCCACCTCTTAATTATGTAGTTCCATAATAAAAAGACTTTAACCACAGAGTCAAAGAAAATGATCAATGCAAGAAACACTAATCCTGGTACCAATTAGATTTAACTGGTGGCCAATGTCTCTAACCATATATCTTATCAAACAGTGAATCAAGTGAACCCTTTAACATGTTGTTATTTGTATTTAAACAAATATGGGTATTTGAAATCTCCAATATCTTGAAAAAGGAGCCACTTCTACAAGAATAAAAGCTTTTTATGATGAGATTAAGAGAAAAATACTTTAGGTTTGAAAATAAGAGGTACATGTGGATTGGTACAAATAAACAGTAGGCAGGAGTCTGGATCAAACTACCCTCCCAAGTAAGATAAGCTGGCACTCTGGGATCCTTTGAGAAATAGATGGCCAAGCTTTTGGAATAGACCGACTGTGAGCAGCCAAACAACGGACAGTACAGCCTCTTGTTATTTATAATCCTTCTAGTTTTGAACTAAGCAAAATGAACATCAATTAAATAATAATTCAATTAATTGATTTGAAAGTGGTATGGTATGAAATCTAGCAGTTATTGTGGACCTGGTTCAGCCACCAAGTAAAGCATGAACCTTTCAGACAAATTTGGTGTAAACATGGCACATACATTAACAAGCAAGAGCCATTCAGAAGTTTGTTCAGGGTGAGTATCAGCAGTTAATGTGTTTACTGCAAAGAGCTTTTATCTTGTATACTGGATCTATCTTGAGCAGTTTCTGTGAATAGCTGTCCTAGCAGGAAGGATTAGGGCCCTAATCTTTTACGTAACGGAAACTGTCAGGAGCTCAGGGATGTGAACGCTGTACACAAGCGAGCAGGCAACCCAGGTCTACCACAGCATCCTTCAGCCCTGGGAAGCCGAAGACTGAGCTGAGCAACCACAGAATTGCATGCGCTCTGTAAACAGAAAAACGGCGACTGGCGTAAAACTGTGGAGAGAGAGAACTCGTCAGGGGAGGTGATGTCATGGAACCTTCTTTGATGTAATTCAGCTCCCTCTTTTGTTGAGTTTTCTGACACTGTGATTGGCTGAGAGAGCGTGTGGAAAACGTTTTCAAAGCATCAAAGAGTCAAAACTGTTTATTGATTGCTTGATCACAGAAGACTGACTGATGAGAACGTTTCACAGTGTGTTAATTCATAAAGGAAAGCCGGTGTACGTGCTCTTGGGTAACAGTGACACACAGCTTTCTCACATTCATGCATTTTTGTATCTCAAGAGTCAGAGCTAACATCCTGCTGAATCATAACAGCTTTACAGAACAAGCATTATAATTGCTTCTCTATTCCCTGAGGCCTCCCAGCAGTTCAGAACCTTGGCCCCCTGGCCCTTGCATGATTACTTATCATTGTGTTTTTGTATTGATGTGTTTCTGTAGTAAGCCCCCTGATACGAATATAAAAATATAACACACTACTGCAGCCCTAATCCCACAGCAACTCTGACTGAACAAACAGGAAGCTGGGAGAGAGATGGGACTTGCACCCTGGTGCACATGGCAGACAACACTGGCACAAGTCGCAATGGGCACTGTCAGCTGTACTGGGGGTTCGGCAATTCAAAATGTCACTGCATTCTGATCTGATACATGCCCCCTATTGTATTGGTTTTTACTGTTCAGAATGCTTTCTGGCAGCATCTGCCCCTTGTCCTTCAGCACCCTAGTAACTGGGAAACCTGCTTGTACTGCTTCTAAGAATTTCAAAAAGGATGGATAAACACAGATATAAAGCAAAAGAAACATTAATTAGATGCATTGTATCTAGATTATGGAATTCAAAAGGCATCTGAACTAAGAGCTTTGCACATGCATGCTTGTTTTTTCCGTTAATCTCCTCCCTTCTGCTTCATCTGCTTTGAGACAGTGCAGCGTTTAACTTCTCAGACGTGGAAAAAATAGGCTGGCTTGACCCCTGACCTTTCTAGGAGTAGGTTAGGTACTGTATATATACCTCAAAGCCCATGAAGTCCCTTAGATCCTGTTAGCTGTTCTTGCTGCTAATCGACCCTGCTCTGGTGTCATTGACTCATTAAGGCGATCAGCCCACTGTCATCCCTGTCTCAACCTGACCTGAAGGTTTAGCCTGTAGGAGTCTGGAGCCATTTCCTGCTGGCTTCTCTGCTATTCATAACCTCCTGCTAGTAAAGCTCTGGCAGAAGGTGTTCTGCACAAAGAGCAATTGATCCAACTAGCAGGCAGGAGACAGACTGTGCTGTTAGTGGGGACTAGTATTAGTAGTTACTAGTTAGTAAGTAAGTACTAGTATCTTCTGGGGGATGAGAGGAGAATGGTCATCAAATTCAGGATTCCAAGGGTTGGGATGGGGGTTCCAGGTTATTTTTTGTATTCTGGGATGGGGGGTATTTTATGGAGGGCAGCTTATTTGTTTATCATTTTCTAGAGGGGAGGTGTGGAAAGGGGGGAGCTTGACTACAATTCTTTATTCTGTGGAGGGTGACATTGTGCTGGGGGGGGGGCAAATTCATCTACTGAAGCTTTTTAAAATCTTTTTTGAAGACTTTTAATGAGGTCTGGCAGGGGTACTGGGGTCGATGTGCTCTTCAAGGCAACTCAGACCTACAAAGCAGGCAGGCGACCCAGATCTGCCTCATTAACACAGACATTAATTAAGTTCAACTAGTTATGCAACGAGTCATAATCCTATGGACGACAAATGTGTCAATTAATATGGCTGCTTAATAGTTCTGAATCATTTTTATTTCATGAGATAGCACATGCTATAGTGCTTGCTGCTAGACGTGGAGAGTGGACTGAGAGTTTGAAGCTATGAAGGATTGTATAAAAACTATTAAAAATCACAGACCATCGCCCTCCTCACTCAGAGCACTCGCTTTAACCCAAATTCAGACAAGCTGGATCTTATGGGCAGTGTCTATGATCTGACAGTACAAGCTATGGGACAGGACACCTGCCAAGACCTGTTGCTCTTACTATAAAACCTTTCTAAAATCCTTTATGTGTGCCAGTGTGCTGAAAGACTCACATGTTGCCCACATGTTCCCACAGCAGATTGGAAGACGTGTGGTGTCAGGATTGGGTTAAGACTCAAAGTCTCCCTCCTAGCTGTGCTATTTGCAAATGCTGACTTGACTGTTCGTCGGCCTAAACCAAGTCCCCTCTGTGCCTCAACAGCAACGTTTCTTAAATACTAATACACAGGTGTTATGTCAAAGAGCCAACAGAGATTATTTCATGGACGTCTGTGTGAAACACGGGTTCACTACTCTACAAGCCTCGTGTTCAACATTAAGGGACCAGTGCAGCACTTGAATTACAGTCAAACAGTTTTATTAGGTCGCACACTTTTTTTCTGAACCACTGAATATCTGGATAAGCATCTGGGCATTGTGTTAATGGAACTGCAGAAAAAAGGAATAAGTAGATTGCTTATTTCAGATGTTAAGAGCGATTGAAGACTTTACTACATAGTCTCTAAATTAAATCGAAAACCTTAATTTGGAGACTCAGAGACCAACAGCTTGAGAATTACTCTCACTAAATCTGTGTTTAACAGAAAGCTCAGAGTCATTTTGGCATTTAGATTTAGCAGGGGAGATGACTTGTAGATTCAATTTCTAGTCATCACCCATATCAATTTTTCTAAAATAGTTCTTAGACTATTTCCTGGAATCCTAAATGATTTGTTTTTTTAAAGATCTTTATTTTTCCTTTAATGTGGTGAACCAACAGCACAAATACAGCTATAATTGAGTTTGACATAGATAACTGCAGCAGCATCCCTTTCAATAATCACGCTCAAAATGTTTACTTTCTGTATTAAAGGGGAAAGCCACTTTTAGCAAGAATAAGATGAATTATCCTTTGCTAATATGATCAAAGTCTGTTTTCAGACCCCGCTCTTGAAGGACGAGAACACTGGCAGTGTCAGTTGTATAGACAGGTTTCTGTCTTTGGAAACACCGAATGTCTGCAGGTCTCATTTAATCCACACCAACAAGCTGATGGAAGTGAGAGGCACCGACTGTGAAATCCCCAAAACAATGAAAGACCTGAAGAACTGCTTGGAACCGCTGTCTTTGTCAGCACAACACAAGACATTAGAACTTCCTCTAACGTTCTATTATCCCACTCATCCTGGTCTCAGAAAATGTACATACCAATATGGTGTTTGATTAATTAGGTTTGAATTACTTGCTTCAACCTCTGGAATCTCTTAATTGAATTAAAGGTGAGGAGAACAATGTGCCATGATTGCTTAATAAATCCACAGTGCAACTTTACTGTGGATGTAGAGCTGATTTTCACAATCCTTTCTTACTGTGAAAGAGCACCTTCCACAGCTTTTGATTCATATAAGATCAAATTCTACCAGCGAATGCTGAAGAGTCAAGGAGCAAGACCAGCTGTGGAAGACCCCTTGAGAGTAGCAGTATAATTAACTGGTGGGTCTCACTGAAGGAGACAGGAGTTCCCTGCACAGTCCGGTCCACCTGCTGCAGCAAACTGAGCTCTTCAATCTGATTGGGACTGGTTATCAGACACGATCAAGGCTGTGAAAGATTATCACCTGGTAGCCAAGCCTGCTTTACTGGGTGCTTGTCATGCAGATCTTCAACAAATCCGGTTATTGAATCTGGTTGCTTGCAGTTAAAATACTGAATCCACTTCTAAAGAGTAAAGGTTACACTGCCCAGCTGCTGGACATTGCCAGTTCTGTGTTTTGGGGGGTATAGTCATTGCTGTATTTTTAAGTATTTTTATTTGGGGGGCGCAGAAGAGGAGGGGGTTTCTGCTGTACTTACGATCCAAGCACCTCCGTGAACTCGAAGACATCCCGGATGTTGTCTGTCACTTTCTTCCAGGTGCTGCTGTCCTGTCCTTCTTTGCGGCCCATTGTGGTTTGAGTTTCTGCAGGGATTTCTGTCGAAGGAAGAATGGGGGTTTTAACAGGAGTTAAACAATACACTGTATTTTTTTTCCTGCTGGATTTGGCTGCTGTTCCACCTCTAGACTGTCAATGTTTAGTGCCCGTTTCTAGGGCACTTCTCGCACAGTTTCAAACACGTAGGGAACGGAATGCAATTGTTTTTCATTTGTCTTAAAGGAGCCTTCAAAAGGCACCAAGGAAATTTTATTTCATCTCTCCATAAACTGCACACATCCTTAAGATTACGGGCCCTCTAAATGTAAGACTCTCTGTACCTTTGCTTCCTTGCCTGTGCATTACCAGACTTTCACTTTACTTTCTGGAACAGTAAAACGTCCTTTTCAGCTTTTTACAAAAACACTAAGCCCATTTAGTATCTCTTAACATGAAGAGTCTCTCCTCAATGGCCTCCTTGTTATTCTCCTCAGTATCTGGTAGCAGGTCTAACTAAAGCTGCTCTTTAAGTTACTGATTTACTTCATTCACACAGCCCATCTGACACTTCTAGTTTTCTGAATGCCGCGTTTTTACTTTTTGTATCATGCATGATATTTTACCATGCGGTTTCTCGGATTTCACTGAGCATGGCTGGTTAGTAATGCCAATGTTAGTTTACAATTAACAGGTATGGGATTACAAGATTTGTTTTGGCACTGATATTTAAAATTGCATTCTGTCTGTTTTTTTTTTAATAGGAGCTTACATTGATTACAAATAGTTTGTGTAATGGGTTTGGGACTTTCTCGTCTGCTGATGGATGAAGGGTATAATCACTGTCCTAATCACCTGCACAGACAGATGACATTGTCTGTCAGACTGTCTCAGCTCGACAATAAGCACGCACGCACACTGCAGCAAGCTAATATTCATGGTGGAGCTGACAAGCTGATGCAGTGAACTTCAGCAGAGAGGCGGGTTTATTTCATTTTCCTTTCTGCTTGACTTATCTGGTTGCTTTTTACAGAAAGAACTCCATTCTGTTGAGCCTGACGAACTGACAGGCAGGCAAATGATTTAGGAACAGAAGCTCTGGGGGAAAAAAACTTGGAACTCTGAACTTTTATATAAAGAAAGAGACTGCGGACAATTTCCTACACCTGCCACATTCAACAAACTGACAGTGAAGGTGGTACTGATCCTGGGCCAATCAAAGGGACTGTTGTTCCCCCCAACATACAGTTAACACGGCATCATAATATTGCCTTACTTAGTCAATGGTTGCCAAGCAAACCTTTCTCTTTTAAAACAACAACCTTACCAGTGACATAGAGAAAGTCTGGCCAAATCTACCTTATGTGAAAAGTGCAAACATGCAATAAACACCTATGATTTGCATTAACATCCTGAAATAGAACTGGATTAACATTGCAGGAATGGCACTAGTACAGTAAGTTACCTTCCACTAGTGATGCGCGGGTCGGCTTTTTTTTTTTTACCCGCACCCGCCCGACCCGATCTAATTTATTTTTTTTAACCCGAGGCCGCCCGGCCCGCGGGTGTGAGTCAACCCGCGCATCACTACCTTACACAGCACTCTCAGAGTTTTTATAAAGGAATAGCATTTTGTCGATCTCTGTTCTTATAATACTCTGGGGTAAATAGCGGTGTTTTACTATCCCGGGCTAAAACACAATATCTTCATTTTCAGTTTTGATGGCACCAGAAAAAGTGCTCTGGTGCATCGTTTCCCTTCTCAGAACTGTGGTTCACAAAGGTCTCGGGTGAGCAGGTTCCAAGGATGCTTCGCTAGGATATGCGCATGCTTTTATGAGCTGTACTGCATTTGCGTACAAAGATTCACAATGTGCAACACTCCTGCCTTGGAAGAAACTGTATGAATCGATTTGTTCAGTACCCACAAGTATCTCTTAAAATCCCGGGGCCGTTGCCCATTGATTAAACCACCTGTACAGCATTGCATTAACAAAATAAAATGAAATATTTAAAATTTATGTCATCACTGCATTGCGTCATAATATAGTAAATTTTGCTAAACAAAACACTTAAACCACATTAAAGACCACACTAGCAGTGAGATACAGCGGATCAATAACACCACGCAGATCAAAAAGAACCCGAAAACGCTTAACGTTTCAAGAACGTCTTTCCTGCTGCTGTAGAAAGACCTTCCTCAGGTTGTGACAAGATGACCTCCACCCTTTAGATAAACCGCTGATCAATGTACAAATTTAGAAGGCGATTTGAATTCAGACGGTGACTTGCAGTGAGCGGACGTAAGCTAGAACCCTTCGTCCTCTCTAGATGCGCTCGATATGAAATGTAATTAGATATGCGGAAGTTACGGTTTTCAAAAACAAAATACAGCATGATACTGAAATAGGCACATCAGAAATAATACGCTACTGGCTCAATGAGGCTCTGGCACCGAGTTAAAAGAATACAAATCACAAAATAAATTCCAAAAGGATGCAGCAAACAACTTTTTTTAGCATTGAAATTCAAACGACAACAATACCAGCATCGGTTCCCATCTGCTTAGTTTCTTCACTTAATATCGATCCGCGCTCCCTCCTCTGTGAAGATCACGCTAGTACTGCGCTCCCTACGCTGTTAAATGTTTTCCGTGTCTAAGCCGCCCCAGAGCGTGTCAGTGAGTTGTCATCCTATTTGCGCTTTCAGCTAGAATGGAGGATCAGCTCAGCATCATTCGCGCAATTCCTTGTGTAAATCCAGGTTCTCTTTGTAATAACGCAGTAAGATCAGGCACTTATTACTAGAAGAGGGAAGGGGGAT